TGAACGCTTCGCAAATCTGGCACATTGCATTCCCCAAGATATAGCAAAGTGAGTTCTTTTACCATAAAAAAAGGCTTAAGCTAAAGTGATCGAGTTGAGAACCTTGAAAGTTTCTCTATAATCCTCTTCACAATCAAACATCAACTTATGAATCAACTAATCCGTAAAAATCATGAATTATCAATTCACGTTAGACGGTAACTCATCAGAGGCCATCCCTTTATAAACATCTTAGAGGTTATAGATCTGTAATTTAATTTTTTATAATAACAGGTTAGGAGTTTTTATGAGGGAATACCAAGAAGAAACGAATAAAAAACTAACTTTTGGAAATTTACCAGTACCACCGGAAGAAGTCACATTCCCTAAGTATATGATGATGATGATGGAACTAACACGTGAAAATCAAACGCAGGTAAGCTTAAAATATTTTTAGTTTATCTTGCAGTACGGAGAGCCTGACAACCAGGTTCCAGAATTGCGATGTTAGAGAGGTATACTTAGATTAATGGTTGAACCGGTCTGCCTTCTATATTTCGGTTAGGCAGTGTTCTAATCACTAACATCTTTGGTTCTCTCGTTTATCCTTAGCTGTTAAAATTCTTGGCCTGCTGTTCTAGTGAGAACTACTTGCCCCTTGAAATTCTAGATAGAGGTATTACAGGTCCATTGGAGCGAGCAAATTTCAGAAAATTTGTCGATCTTTCTATGAGAGAGGAAATTAAAGTAGTAACCATACATCCAAGAGACAACACCATGCTCAGAGATATACTCAGTGGGCAAAGCCGAAGTGTTACTGGTTAGTTGCAAGCTAATATTAGCTCTGTCACATAATGTAAGCAACAGCTGTCAGAATATGCAAAGATGACTTGGAAACGTAATTTCTATTTGTGATGGCCGTAAAACCTAACGTCTATGATCTAAAGAAATAACGGAAGTTTCGTAAATAAAATAACGTTATATGTTTCAGCAAAGATAACCTAGAAGGCAATGAAAGCTGCTAATCTAGCCTGCATTTCAAAGGGACTTCATTACCTTTCGCTTTTCTAAGTAAGGGTTCCCTTGGAGTAAACAACTTCTAACTTCATTAACACTTTCGAACGGACACGAGAATAAAGGCAATCACCGGATCTTTTTTTAGCCAAAATATTTCATGTTTGGAATGATTATAGTGGGGCACATCCTCCTCAGAGAGATTATTCCTGATAGATTTTTAGATTCTAAATATAGATCATTCCCTCTATTTCCCTACGGTGCTGTATTGTTCTAACGTTCCAATTGTTCTACTCCTTTTGACAACGACTTTATAATTTCAAATTTTACTCAAGACTTGGTTTCCCACTTAGTCCTCTCTTGCTGTTCGTAAGTCGTATTTTCCTTTGTAGGAATATTTTAATCATTTATTTTTCCCCTTCTTTATTTTCGTAGAAAAGACATGGACTTACGTTTTGAACTTTCCCTTCCTGCAAAACAAACCACGCAACATAAACACTCCTACTCTGTCGTGTCTCGATGTCTCTCACGTGATTAAATGCCTAAGCGAGGTATGCAAAGATGCTTTACAAAACAACAGGAATAAAGACTTCAAATTGATGCGCTTCGTTTTACCACATCTGAAAGAAGCTGTGAAGGTATGCACTAAAACAGCTGTTCCTGAAATGACTAACTACTGATCTGATCTGGCCGGAAGAAAAAAAAGCATTCCAAAATCTAAGGCTTAAAAGACAGTGATCTCTAGATATGTGGTTGTGTTACTGGCAAAAAAATCTTGGTATTTCCAGTCGTGTACTTTTGGACGCGGATGTAAACTGGGTCGAGAAGAACTGGGTTTTTTTCATGCACAAAAGTGAAGTGAAGTGATCGGGGAAAAGTCGTCCAGCATCGCCGGCGGTTGTATGGCATTTTCACAAAAAAATATTCGTGACAATAAGATGGTTGTGTAAAAAAATTAATGAGAGCATTGAACTCAGTGAAAGTGAGTTTAACCATCCGGTTGACTTGTCCTATGATGAACTTTTGAAATATGGAAACAGTCTGGAGACGAAAATGTTTGATACCGAATGATTAAGAAATATCATTATGGATTAAAGGCAAAACTTCTCCCCAAAGAAATACACTTTTTGTCACTCACCTAGTTCTAATGGTTTTTGGGGAATTTTTGACGCCTTAATGTCAGTTTTCGATCGGATTTCTAGTATGCTTTGCCAACAAATATTTTACAACTGATAGACTTTGCCGCCGCTAAAGACTTTTCCGATTCAAATTGCGATAACCCATCTTCGTTTTTTGAACATTTACCGGGAAAAGGAAATGTAACGAAAACCACAAATGACACAATAAACCGCGTTTTTCAAGGAATTTGGCGTGTTACATTGCAAGGAAATGAAGGACAGGATTTTACTGTACAAACGTCTTCGTAGTTGTCTCCCGCTCGTGATGATATCCTATTTTTTAATAGTTCAAACAAAATTGTTAATATGGCCTCTTATGAGCCAGCTGTTTTGCTAATTAATATCTGATATATTCGATCGGGGCGATTGTAGCAAATGCATAGCTAGGACATCTTTTCTGAACTAACTTTAAATCGAATCAGGTGTGGCCTTGCGTGAACAAGGACAACTGCAGATGAGTGGGGGTGAATGATGCATTTAATGTATAAATCACATTGAAAAACAAGTTTTTTTCCTTAAAGCTCAAGCAAAAGTTGAAACTAGAAGGAGAATTCGACCCCCTCGTCATGGCTAATGGACATGCCTGTCTTGGGGAAGGTTTGCTCATCTTTGGAAGGCCTGAAGAAGCAAGGGAGAACCTAAAGATTGCTCTAGACCTCTTCAAGAACTATGAAGGCCAAGAGAATGTGCAACTTGACCTGGCTAACGTGTGGCACTTCCTGGGAGAAGCCCACAGCAACAGGTATAAGTTGAATCCACATATTCTGCGCACAACCAGTTAAGGCATAGTTTCAACATCGAAATCACAAATTTAACAAACATGTTTCCATTATAATTGATAATTATTTTAACATATTTCGCATAATTACATCATTTTTGGAAAATGCTCGTTGTTTTGCTTTCATTTTAAATTTTAAAAATCCAGTTAACTTCATTTTGATACGAAAAGAGAATTTCTCCTCCAAACCACCTCTAATAAGCAGTATCCACGTCTAAAGAAGCAACTAAGTTTTGAGAGTTTGGGCAGTAAGGATACCTTATCACAAGTTTAGAATTTTAGTTGCATTTCGACCGAGGATTCGAATTAAAGGTACAGATTCTTGCAACATCATAAGTCTTATGGGTTAATTTATGAATTTATAGTCACCTCGCGAGCCCGTGGGAAGGAGAAATGTATTTAGAAATAGCCTTGCAAGAGAAAAGGCGGTTCTACAAAGGAGAGGATCACCCACAGATTGCTTTGACTCTACGAAGTCTTGGAAATGTATTGAACGAACTGGGAAGACATACTAAAGCTATGTAAGTATCGAAGAAAGTTAATTATAGCCCTTCAGTAAGTTATTTTCAAAATTAATTTTCAAAAGATCCAGCGACTCAATTTTAAGAAAATAACGAGAAATTTGAAAAAGCAGTCAAACCGGGGTGTTACTCTCGACTGAATGTCCAAAACAAGCCACTAGACGAAGCACCACTTACGCTAAAATTACCTATGCTAACGTCAGACGTTCCACAAAGTTTCATTAGACAACCGGATCTACAATCTTTACACGTTCATAATAAAATGATCATGACGCGAAATTTCGATCCAGCTTTATCCAAAACTTCAACGACAACAAATGATAACCGCGAAAAAATGTAAGCAATGTTTAAAATCAGAATAATGTTCCCGGTACCTAAATCTTTTTTCCCTTCAAAGCAGTAAAACGCCAGACTGAGGATTTCCTTCTGACACTGCAGCTCAGGAAACATCACTATCAAAAACTCAAATTCTTTGAACAGAAATCAAAGAAACTCACTCTTGACAGTAATTGCCTTGTTCATCAACTTCAGTTAGCCTCAATGAAAATCTAAAACTTGATCAATTCTAGAGAGAAAATCTCTTCTCCTTCCTGTTGAAATATTTTATAGCATGTGCCTGTGTGGATAGAATGTATAGCTTGTGATGAAAAGCAAGGCACCAAGAAAACCACTGGCTTGTCAATAACCACAATAAATATTTCCCAAATTTTTACTTTCAGTATTCAGGAAGATACTTTAGACTTTGGAGGGTTCAGACAGGAAGCGAAATATTGCTTCTGCTTAATTTACTTCAAAAATCACATTCGCAGCAAACTCGATATATTCTCACAAAAGTTTACGAACGACTTTAGACTGCCAGAAAGTTTGAGGCCTTGAGCGAAGCAAGCCGGCGGGAGATCTGTGAGGGGTTTAACATCGATGATCAGATTAAGTTTTAGATTAATATGCGAGGGTTAGATTAAGGGTTAGATCAGATTAAGTTTTAGATTAATATGCGAGGGTAATTCTTTCTCATGTATTAAAAAAATTCACTTTTGTCTCAGTAACTTAATCCAAAGAGCCCTGAAGATTTATGTCGGTAAAGAAAACTTCAAACAGGAATATGGTTACACCCTGAGTGCATTGGGATCTTCGTACCGCTACCTCGGTCAGTATGTTGAAGCAGAAGACTACTTAAAGATGGCTCTCAAAATCTTTGAATCCGTCGCATCACCAAGCGAACTGAGGGTAATGTTATACTTAGAGGTCACAGCGATAATTTTACCTTTACGTTCTAGTTGAAGCTTGTTTTCAGCCTCGTCACAATATCCCTTCCCTAACATTATTACTTATTGGGCTCCAGTCTAATAGTTAATTTGAGAGTGCGGTATTGGACCTTGTTGATCTATATGTCTGTAGATAGCATTCATAATATCATCCTGTAGCTCATATGCACCGGATCTTATAGCATTCATGAACCAGTGGAGCAGAATTCTGCCTGGAAACTCTTGCAAAGACTCCGTGTTTCATTTCATTCTTGAAGCCCCAAAGGTTACTCCGGATATCCAATTACACGCTGTGACTTTTTGTTAAACAGGGACACAAAACTAGATTAAGCTTAAATATTATATCTTTACACTAGATAATTATGTCTTCAAGCTTCACGTTTTGGGAAACTAAACGGATCTCGACTTACAGACGGATGATGAATTGTTATTCCAACATAAATTGTTGTGAGTGGGGATTATTCCCATTCACGACATGAGTTATGTTATCTAAGATGTAAGATAGTTGTCTGCACTAATCCTCTATAATAATACTGATTTTACCAATATATAAACTTTCTGGCAACACCACAATGCTCTTAGTTTGATTCCGATGCTATGGTGGCATGCCTTCAATGTTCCAGGATAAATGGCTTTTTGCCATCATTGTTCTTGTATTTGTTATGAAATTCCTTCATACTGTCATCCAGGGCCCCTTTGTTTCCAGCAAAGTAAGCTGTAGTTGCATTTTGGAAGAGTGACAATTGTTTATGCAAAACTTTCACCTGTTGAGGAAGTAGATAAAAGAAACAGATGGCAAAACTGATCCAACTTCTACTCGGGCGCATTGCGTGGAATAAACGTTTAAGGTGTCTACATGCAACGTCTAATAGGGCACTCCTCACAACAATTGTTTGCTCATATTAATGAAACATTGATACTTAAAACCTACGATGAGTTCTCATAGATATCTATGTCACTAACCCAAGATACCTCTCCCCCCCTCCAAGCAAGACTAACATTTCATCTTGGATATAGTCACATCAGTTTTAAACAGGTGATATAAATTGCACGCTCACACAAAATAAACAGTTCTGGCTTAGACTTCGCAATGTATTTGTGACCTCAAACAAGATATCATATATAATGTCTTTCTTTAGGATTTTCCACTTTTTAAATGCCCAAAATTTGTCATCATAATTTCACTAAAAGTTATGTCTGTTGATTATTGAAAATTTCTGTTAAAATACCGTAATCAGATGAAAATAAGTGGCATCGTCAAGGAAATTCAGATTTTTTAAGTGCTTCGGTCGAAACCCCGCATGAATGCTCAAATGCTTTTATTTTCAAAAGGGAATTCTATCATTTTTTTTCATGTCCACCCGAGTAAAGCCCATAGCGGTAGTGTAAAAGATAACATTTCGCCATGATTACTGCAAGTGGGTCACATGAGACGTGAACTGCAAAAATACCTTGTTTTCTTCTAAAAATCTGAGTTTGATCGCTAAATCACCCCGAAGTCGATCAAATTTGTCTTTTTGGACATCATACTTCTGCTTTGCCGCTTCAGCTTTATGAACTGTCGCTGCTGTTCTTGGTCCAACTTGGATGGATTCTAGGTCTGTCCTGTAAGCATCATATTCTATTCTGGCGGATTCATAAGCTTTCACTGTCATGATGGAATCCTCTATGGTCTTGTGCACCAGAGTCGTCAAGTTAGATGTAAAAAGCTTAAGTGCCCCAAGAAGAACTTCTCCATTCTTAACCAGTAATCTTTGGTACTCAGCATTGTAGTTAAAGTCAGCCTGAAGTTCTGGAGATTTTACCCCTAAATCTGCAAAGGCATCGGCAAGACCTCTTTGACTTTGAACCATATTCTGTAAATGGTTCGTCATCTGTTTTGCCAGTTTCAGAACATTAACATACTTTACTTGGGTTTCTTTTAACAGAAGAATCTGTCCTTCAAGTTCTTTGTCCACGGTCCTTGTGCCTTTACCAAAACGTTCAGAAAGATACTGCCTGGTAAATTTATAAGTTGAAATACTCCATTTCTTTAAGTGATCTATTTTCTGAGACGCATTTGCTCGAATTAGAGCTTGGGAGGTGGGATGACTACCTGAAGTCGTACCTTCAGATGACTGCCAAGGCGTTGGTGATGTGGCGGGCCCTGCTGAGATTTGGTCAGTGATAAACGTTAAAGATTTAAGCAAACAGCTACAGCTTTAAGGCTCGACTTTAGGTAAAGCGAACTATAAAATATTTGTTGCGTCAATATCTCTGAGGAGATGCACTACCTCAGATGGCGTTTTGTCCCTCAGTTGGTTATCAGTACAAGAACAAAGACACAAACCTACTGAGACTAGCAAAAAAAGCTTTGTATATCCCGTTTTGGCCTGAGTTTATGCGCTTAGACGTACAAAAGCCACCCAGCAACTTAAGATCTACCGGTGGTGCTCAAGTACAAATCCCAGCAATGACAAATATATTTCAAGATCATGCTGTGACTCTTTTGAATAAGCTCTTCTTGAGACACTTTTTAAACACAGCAAACCATGGCGTTTTTAGCAGAGGTTAAGCGCTTCCTACTTAGCCAAACTAATGCCGTTAGAACATGCTAACTTGAACCTCCTCAACTAGTTCCTTCCAATTTTTATGATTGATGTAATATATAGCATTTAACTATCATTTTTTTTTTGCTATCGTTATCCTTCCTTTATTGTATATCAATCGGTAGGTGTAGAGCTACTCTCTAGAGATAATACCGGTAAGCATGTCCTAGACAGGGAATTGGCTTTGGCCTCAATAGCTCAGTGATTTGTTGCGCACGTACAAAGGATCTCCATTTGTTTTCTTCCCAACGAAATGAGGAAAACTTTACGACTAATGGAGTTTGAAGACTTTCATAGACGATAATTACTACTGAGTGGGCGTATTCCCTATGTTTACTTCATGGCCTATATGTCGTAATTAAACGCCTCTGGATCCGCCTCTAAATATGTGGTTGAATGTACCAAAAAACCGATGAATACGATGTTGACACAGTAGCTGCCGATTAATTTGCTCTAGTTTTCAAATGTGCATGTCAACGGAGCCCGGTTAATTTTCAAGGTAAACTTGTTTGAAATATTGAGCGTTGGAACATCTTTTCCGAGATCGTACGACCAAGAAATCTTGACTCACAGAATGATACTAGTTTTTCTTATTCATCAATGTAAAACGTGCCTCCAACATAAGTAGAAAACCGCTCTTCGATAAAGATGTTGATTTAGATCTCATAAGATAGAATAAATAACTTATTATGTTTCTCATTATTAGCCCCCTAAAACTTCATATTTTCATATCTTTTCACTGGTTGATCTCCGGTTGCAACAGCTTACCTCGAGAGGCTTTGTTGGTATCCTTCATTGATATCATCCTAAAAACACGGACTAGTTTCCTTCACCAAGCTACGAAATTAAAAATCACAGGCGCGCAGTGAATGTGACTAAGTGAGCGGCTAGAACAAGCATGGGCACCGGTACCCGCAATTACCTGTAGCACATCCGGTAATAGAATGGCAAGTCTATTCGAAAAGGAGTTGTCAACTCCCACGGGTCCACGGGTACAAGTACAGTGGCTCAGCTTAAGAAAATTTAATGTAAGAGTTGCAACTTAGTCATGATGTAAATTATGGTGGGAAAGAATGACCATGATCGAAACGAAACTTTAGTAAATAGCCTCGCGTGTACAAATTTTACAATATGAACAGGGACAAATAAATTGAAAAAGAGAATGGAGAACCTATTTATCAGCATAGAAAACAATTCACGAATATTTCAAACAAGACTCGTAATACACAAACTGAACTCTATATCATGTTTTCCACGAGAATTGTGAAGTTTGTTTTTCATGTTTGTTAAAATAAATTTGAACCGAGCTTTTGAAGTATGCTTTCTTAGTAAACAAGTATTGTCTTGTCTAATTTTTCTCACCGCAGTCGTTTGGAGGGCAAGAAACCTGTATCCAGAAGAAATCTCTATTGCGAGAGAACTTGCAATATTTTTTTCATGTATCTATCGAAGAAAATTTTGAACACGCAACCTATGGGTGATATCAGAATAAAATGGCATTAAGTGATAAAAGTATAACGAGAAGAGAAAAAAAATCTTGAGAGTGTTATGTCAACGGCCACCTTCAACCACCTGGTTTATTTTCATTAGGTTGTTCTAATTCACTGTTGTGAATGTCAAACGCAATCGGTAAGGATATATCTAACTGACTGCAATTATCTGGCCTGAACAAACTAAATGGTCTCAACCTAAAAACCTTACCTTTCAGATTGGCGCGACACTCAGCCGTTTGGCCTCTGTGCAAAGAAATATGGACAAATTAGATGAAAGCATTGCTTCCTTGGACATGGCACTTAAAAAGTTTGGATACAACGACATATACAGTGCTGTTATTTTATCAAAGCTGAGCGTGGTGTACCGCTACAAGGCGGATTTTAAAAGAAGTCTCCAGTTTGCGTTGAAAGCTAAAAAAATTGCAGATGACCAATATGGCACAAAAAGTCATCCCGGTAAGTTATTGTTAATTCTCATCGTATTCTCCACAATGTTATCGTTTTGTTATTAATAAAACGAAGAGGTTGAACTATTCATTACATTAGCTACGTTAATCCTTGAGAACTTTTGAACTCGAGAGGATCTTTTTTCGTTACAGCTAGAGCTACAGCATTGTTAAATCTTGGACATGCGCTGAGTGATGTGGGAGATGTAGACGATGCAGTGAGAAGTCTTACAGAGGCCTTAGATATCAACAAGAAAATCCACGGCAGTATCCATCGCATTGTGGCCGCCAACTATAATTATTTATCGTATGGCTACCTACAGATGGGAATGATTCAACAAGCCAAGAAAGAGCTACTACACGCTATAAAGGTCATGCACCATTACTCTCGCTCTCACCCAGGTAATAAGCGACATTGTTACTTTCAATGGCAGAAACAGCTCGAAACTTACTCTCGAATCGTAGAAATGGATTAAGTTTAGGGCCTCTTTCGTACTTTAAGATGACGAGTAAGAGGACATTTTTTTTTCTTTTATAACGACCCGTCTCATTCTAACGGCTTTTTTGTGTAAACGACCATTAATAAAATTGACTAGAGAGGGGTCTCCCTTGGACCAGGATTAGATTCGACTAAGATAGGAAGCTAAATCGAGGACATGTAAGGAAGCCCTTAGGATCCAGTGCAATTGTTTTTGTCTCCGGTGCAATTGTTTTTGTTACAAATTAAAATCAGGGTCTTCTTGCCGGCAAATCACCACGATAGCGAGAGATTCCCCAACGATTGTAATAATTTCGATCAATGCATAGTAGACCCCAAAATCAAAGATGACGTATTAACGCTTACAGCTGTTTTTTTTCCTTTAAGAGAGAGCTAATTCTCAAAAGAGGCTGAGCAAGGTCTGCTTAATCCTCGGGGAAACCGTCAAAAGCGCAGATTTAGCTGACAGTGCTCTCCAAATCTACAAACAAACGCATGGAGATACCATGGAACATAGAGAGGTAAGCCAAAAGACACTGCATAGTTGGTGAGTTAGATTTTTATGATAGGTACAAGTACACTGGCCTGTGAATTTTCCTTTTTGTTTGGAAGGAGCCCTTTTCAGGAGTACTGAAGTTAAGGAGTCACAACTTTTGCTCATGTCTAGGTATATTAAAAACGAAAACATATCTTACAGTATACATAGTCTGCCTATCGAACAATTTGTTGATTTCTCTTGAATTTTCTGCCGGGTAAAGGACCCTTATCAGCTATTGTTTTTTTCTATATAACTTGCTCAATTTAACAAATAAGTTTCACGTTGCCGTGCCTCTGTTCAGTAATAGATCACAGCTGACGTTCATAATGTGGTACGAACAAAACAGTGGCAAACAAGGCAAAGCCGACTGTGTCACTAATGTTACCGCCACATTTTGACGTCTCTTAGTGAACTGTTCCTGTACAGACCCGCGGCAATATGGAATCTATTGGTTTTACATGACAGAAAGCAAACTCTTGAAAATGGTGAGGTCATCTGTGTCTGTACTCCTGCATGTCGAATTCAGCTTATCATAAGAAAGCCGTTGTCTATCGACCATTAAGACGGTCAGACGCATGCATCTATTTAAGCCAGCAAAAAGTTTGTTCAAAGTGACTATGGCTGAAGCAGTATTGAGTAAAAAGATGTCGAAGCCTTACAGATTTCCTACAATAAAAAGGTCACATAGACATTTGGCCGAAGTCGATTGCGGCATCAAGAGAAAATAGCCACAGCATCAGGAATTTCTTACTAAGACTGTAAGTTAGGCTTTCAAACCAGTGTAACAATAGTTATTAATAAATATCGATAAAAACTGGAATCAAAACATGAGCGAGGACTGAACATATTTGATGCCTTGATACACAATGGGGGAACCAAGTTCTTCAAGTTCGTGACATTGATTCGTTTCCCTAAAAAAAATAAAAACTTCTAACATTAGGAAAAAAAATGATCGATCTTCAGAAAGAAAATAGAGACTCGGATTAAATATCGAGGAAATGATAATATTCAGCCCTGGCAAGGAGAAACAAATGAAAACGAACACCTGATTCCCCCTCGTACCAAATATCCTTCGAAGTGGAATTCTCTGTAAGGTAACGAGTGCATACAGACGCACAAGGGCCACACACCAGCAAATTTAACTGGAAAGTTTAATTAAACTTGTCTACATAAAGATAAAAATTATCATGACTTTATGTTGACAATTAGGAGGCGACACTACAATTCTATTGTATTGTCTATTTTAGGTGCGGAGGGGTACAGTTCGGGTGGCTTACGCCTGCTCTAAGCTTGGTTTGTCTGACATGGCTGAAGAATATCTCAAAGAGGTAGAACTTGGTTTTCCCATGGGCCAAGAAATTAGGTCCCACCCCGAATTTGCCGCACTTCTCCGGAAGAAAACCGAAATTATTTTAGATAGCTTCGAATTCAACTGGCCTTTGAACGAGGTGAGCGTCCAAGAAATACTTTCACAGGCAAACAAGGATTTACTCCAAGCAGAAGAAATTTTGAGCTATCCATTTCGATTTACACAACAAATCGCATTAACAAAGAAGGAAAAAGCGCGGTTAAGCGTACTAATGGGAAACTACGGCAACGCGTATAAGGACATTCGTTCAGCTCTGAACATTCTCCCGCGGTATTGCGATTATTTGAAGGCAGATTTTTCGTTGATAAGGAGTGATGCTGAAAGAGGCCTAAATATGGTTAATAGATCAAAGGTGTCTTTGGAAACAGCTGAAAATATTTATCGAAATATTTTTGGTGACGACCATCCAATGGTTGCAGTCACTTTGCAAAAGCAGTGTTCTCTACATTTGGATTTCGAGCACAAAAGTAACACTGGCATGAACGAAGCCCATAAATATTTTGAAGCAAGTCACAAAGCTTGTGAAGTCCTTAAAAGTAACTTGGAGCAGCAGCTTGCCGGTATCCAAAGAGATTTTCTCAAAAACTATAGTTTTGAGCGACACCCTATTCTTAAACGACAGAAGTCGCTTCATAAAAGGTTAACGCGCAATCAAGGTGCTTGGTGAGCTGAGTAAAGACACTCCACCAAAGAAAAAAGAAGACAAGAACATTTCAACAACAGTTTACAGCAGTTTATAGAGCCTGAAAACGATTCCCTTTCTATTCACCAATTACTGATGTAACGATAGTTCTGCTCTTTCGTTTATTTCATTGATGAAACGACTATTAAGGCCACTTTCTCATGTCATGGCTGCCTCACATTATGCTTTTATGTCCAGTGATAGAGATGAACCCAACTTGCAAATATGTTTAGGGGAGGCGGCAGGTTGTTTTATCATAGATTTCATTCCAATAGAATATACTCTTTTTGAGCACTTATGAAATGAGAAAATCACGATGATCGTGAATTCTTGTGGTGGAAAAGAAGTGGGAGGGGTGGGGGCAAGACAGTCTCCTGGTTATCAGGAATAAACATTACGTAAAATCACACGTCGTTTCTCTACTCCCATGTACGGCCAATCTTTACTAACCACTTTAACTACGATCTTCATCACTGTGTGCTACTATTGATAAACGGTTTCATCTGGAAACTTCTTTAAAGTACAAAATTAAAACATTTTGTTTTTTGTAATATATTGTTAACTGTTCTCTGACTAGTTGCTGTAAGTTAACTGGTTATGTCAACAACTACTTAATTTTACTTAATTGTACTTTTTGACCCTTCTAGGAGTTTTTAGACTTTCCAGGATTTCTAGTTAGACTAGCATTATCCTTGAATCGAGATATAGCTTTTTATGTAAAAAAAAAAAGTATGAAGGGTATCTTTGCGGAAACGAATCTATTTTGGTATTCGTTTTTAAGTTGCATGCTTATGGAACA